TTATTCTCTACCAATCACATCCTTTCGTATCTTGGTTTTCGTGTAGACATGGTTTTTAACTTAGATCCGGTTTCTATGATTTTTTGTCTCTCTCTTTAATAACTAACTTGTCACATCAGCAAAACGCTTAGGTGACAGTATAATTAATGTCATAAAAACTATAGTGATTTCTGTATTGGAAATACCTTTACCTCACGTGTTTGGTTCATGGAATAGAACCGTGTGGAGCCATTGAATCCTGCGTTGGATCCTAAACGTATTGTTTGTTTGATGTAGGGAACAACCCGTCCATCATCACACCATCCCCCTGCATAATCATGTCATCTGCTCGTTTCTCCAAAAATAGTTGGTTGAACCCATATAGGACGTGTTGATGTCGGATGGAGACTCCCCAAACCAAATGATGTCGGATGGAGACTCCCCAAACCAAATGATGTCGGATGGAGACTCCCCAAACCAAATAACCTTTGAGATGTTCATACTTAACAAAAATAAAACATGTTATGACGTGGTGCTATGGTAGCATGACAAGACACCAAGTCCGTTGGATGTTCTTTTTTCAAGAAAAAAAACTCAGGACCGCGGGGAATAGCATGCGCCCCCGGAGCATTTCGCATTAAAGTAGAGAACTTATCACTGAGACCGAGAAAAATCCCTGAACCCCATACCCCGTCCGCACATAGGAGCCCGTTACTTTGTCAGTGGGCCGGTGCCACAAACCTATGCTTTGGGTAACACGGAGAAGATGAGGGTCTTTTTTTTACCTCCGGCACTGCAATTTGTCCCGTGGGGGATCGAACCCAGACCGCGAGGGTGCCACTGGTGTCGGTGTTTCGAGTAAACATCAACGAGTAAATTTGTATTATTGCGCGTCTGGCTCGGATGGTGTGCTAAGAGGACACAATGTTTATACTGGTTCAGGCAGAATGTTCCTACGTCCAGTTCGTTGCTGCTGCTCGTGTTACTAGCACTGAAAAGTTCGTAGTAGGGGTTACAAACAAGCAAGAGAAGGACAAGTCCCAAGTCTCTGGTAGAAAGAACGAATGGGTACCGAGAGCTCGATCGCTACTCGGCTATGTGTTCTAGGTTTGATGCTAGTGGTCTTGATCTAATGTAGTGCGATATGCAATGCCCTTTAGTGGGATGTCCTGCTTTTCCTTTTATAGGCCAAGGGAAAGCGCGGGTTACACTAGGAGAAAAAAGGAGAACGAAAGGCAGAGGGAGTCCTTCAGAGTCACCGGGCCTCCCTTTTCCTCTGTCTTGGCTCGGCCGACACGGCGGCGAGGGATGAGGGACAGCTCCACGTCGCGCGCGTTGTCACGTGATAATGCCATACCCGGCATTGTCGGTGGTCGCCAAATCCACTCTGCCCGTGGCGGACGCGACGAACCGGCGTCGTCTGATCGGTGGCGTCTGAGGAGTGAGTAGGCAGCATAGTGACCACGCGTCCATCACCGTGGGCAATGTGAGTTCCCTGGAATGACATGTCATGGGGACGTGTCGTGCTAAGATGTGACCGCTCCCTGCACGATGCCAGAAGTTTGACCTTGGGTTGTACTTTCTGGGCCGTAGTGGTTGGCGGCGACGCGAGCTTCCGTGAGGAACCATGTTCGAGGGATCGGATGAAGCGGAGCCAGCCCTCAAACGTCGACCGAGGCGGAGCCTATCCTCGAGGGTCGATCGAGGTGGAGCCAGCCCTCAGACGTCGAACGAGGCGGAGCCCGCCCTTAGACGTCGGCCGAGGCGGAGCTAACCCTCGAGGATCGACCAAGGCGGAGCCTACCCTCGGGGGTCGGCCGAGACGGAGCCTATCCTCGGGAGTCAGCCAAAGCGGAGCCAGCCCTCAGACATTGGGCGAGGCAGAGCCAACCCTCGGGGGTCGGACGAGGTGGAGCCAACCCTCGGGAGTTAGCCGAGGCGGAGCCAACCCTCGGGGGTCAGGCGAGGCAGAGCCCACGGCCTCAGCATCCACCGAGGCGGAGCCAACCCTCGGGGGTCGGACAAGGCGGAGCCCATGGCCTCGGTGGTCGGACTTGTTGGAGCCCAGCAAGAGGTGTAGTCGCGCTCTTGACCGCTCGGATGAATCAATGTTAATGGTTATTAGCTCCTCCTCTTCGGGTACCCTAGTATTGGTCCCCGACAACTGAGCTTCTTGACCAACCGGTCTAGCATCCATTGGCTTTTTTCAAGAAACATATAAATAGTTACGGTTTGGTATTATTTGGCACTATCACACTAAAAGAGTGAAGGGGACCGTGACGCCTAAGAAGGGGGGGTGAATTAGGCAACTTAAAAATCTAACTCTTAAGCTATGGCCTCTTTTTCTAACCTTAGCAAAACCTATGCAAAAGATAAACTATCTAAATATGCAACTACGGTTTTGCTAGTGTGTTGTTATCTCTACCACAAAAGGAGTAAAACAATCAATATAAATGCGAAAACTAAAAAGCAAGGTAGAGATATGCAAACTTCTGTCGACGACTCTGGTATTTTTACCGAGGTATCGAGAAGCACGTAAGCTTTCCCCTAGTCCTCGTTGGAGCCCCTCGCAAGGAATCCCTCGCAAGGGCTAAGCTCCCGGTCGGGTAACTCTGTGGATAGCCTCGAGCCTTCCCCACGCGCAAGTGGGTCTCCGACGTGCCTTCCGGCAAGCCTCTCCCGGATGCTCCCCGCCGTCTTCACTATCAAGCTTTCGGCCGAAACACCACGGGCCTTGTTCCCTCCGGTACACAGTGGCGGCCACACCACAAACGCTGTTGGTGTGAGTTCACAAGACTACAATCCCCTCCGATGTACAACAATGGTGCACGCAAGCACCGAGTGGTAAGAGGTATGCAAACCTCACTAAACACTAGGCCTAAACCTAGAGCAAGCGCATAAGCGGTGGTCTAATCAACCTAAGCACTTCGCAAAGCATCTATGCTAATCACCTAATGAAACACTAAGCACTATGTAAGTGGAGATCGCTAAAATGATGTATCAACATCCTAAATATGTTTCCTCAGCTCCACCCCCTTCATTTGGTCGGTTGGGGGTTGTATTTATAAGCCCCACTGAGAAAGTAGTCGTTGGGGGTGAAATCCCGCTTTTCTGCTACTGACTGGACGCTGATCATGTCCTGACCGCACACGTCCGGTCGTCCCAACCGTTGGAGCCGCAAACAACTGATCGAACGCTGCCAGCGTCCGGTCACCTGCCACCGGACGCGTCCGATAGCATTTTAGTCGCTCTGGAACCTCTCTGTACTCGACCAGACTCTGTTGTCCTGCGTCCGGTCGATTCTACCGTCAGTGTCCGGTCACGCCTGTTGCCGAGCCTCTTGATCGGAGCGTCCGGTCACTTTCCTCCAGCGTCCGGTCACCTCTGCGAGCTCGTTTCTTCGTGATCTTGCGTACGGCTTGGTTTCTATCTTCATGCTTGGACTTTGCTTGATATTTTAGGTCTTCTCTTGTGCTTCTAGGGTCTTGCTTATGGTGTTGATCATCGGATCGTCACGTTGCCTTCGTCCAAGTCACATCTTACACCCTATTGAACTACAAAACAATCACTTGCAACTTCATTAGTCCAATTTAGTTGTGTTGATCATCAAACACCAAAATCCAAAGTAAATAGATCAATGGTCAATTTTCCTTACAAAGAGCAAGTAAACCGTTCTAGGAGAAGGTAGGTGGATAGCCCAGAAAATACTCTGAAAGTTTAGGCTCCAATTGATAGCGCTTTCTGGAGGCATCCATGTGTAGCTCCACAACTCTGCTCACCAAATGGGTCGAGGGTCTCCACTTCACACCGCTCCAGCCACGATTCATGCTATTTGGAGCCAGGAGCGTCCCCGAGGACTCCTTCGTCCAAGCGTGTAGGGGCTCCCCAAAATGCCTTGGCTCCATGCGAGTGAGATGCAGAGCGTACAAAAACGCCAAGGCGAAGGCGAATGGGACATCGACTCTAGGTGGGCGTGGTGCGGGAGGAAGGGTGGGGTCTCCATGGGAGACTCGATGGGAGGCGCCGCGAGTGGACAAGGAAGAGAGGGAGGGAGGGCAAAACAAAAGATCGGAGAGGAGAAAAAATAAAGAAAGAAAGATAAAGAAATCACAAACATTTCATCTTTTCTTTTTCCTATCACAAGGAACTGTTTTGTTAAAGATTTTACCCAACTGTTTCGACTCCACCAATAAAGCTATTCGTAGAGTAAAAAGAATGGCTCCACAAATAAAACGGAGTTGCACCAAACAAGACCTTGATATCCTTGCTTAGTTGAAATTTTGGGGGGACTTGCATCAATTTAACACCTACCAAATGACAACAATAAGCATAGCTGTCGCTGCCAGCTCAGCAGCCGCAGTTTCATCAAAAACCCCCAACACCAAGCAAGGGCTTGTTTAGATGCAAAAAATTTTGTAAAATGAGTATTGTAGCGTTTTCATTGTTATTTGGCAAATAATGTTCAATCATAGTCTAATTAGGCTTAAAAGATTCGTCTCGTGGATTTCGTCTAAACTGTGTAATTAGTTTTATTTTTTATTTATATTTAATGCTTCATACATGTGTCCAAAGATTCGATGTGACGGGGAATGTGAAAAATTTTGCAAATTTTTTTGCAAACTAAACTGGACCCAATTCCCACCTCAATCATTTGCGATGCGGGCCCCGCTCGAACCCCCTCACCACACCCTTCTCCGTCCTCCCGCCATTTAAACCGACGCTGCCGGCCTCACTGACTCCCCCCGTTCCATTCCAGCTCGTCTCCTCAAATACAAAAGCCGCACACCCACAGAGCGACCAGCTCCACCAATCGCAGCACCGCTGCCCTCCAGGCCTCCACCTCCTCCTCCATGGACGAACCGCCGCTCCATCCACCACTCCTGCCCCACGCCCTCACCACCGGCGAGTAGCACCTCTTCGCTGCTGCCCTTGCCTTGACGGATTCGAATTCGCGGAGCGGAAGCTTTGTTTCCCCTGCCTTCAGCCGTACCGCGGCGGCCGATTCTCTAGGCTTCTCCCCGATGTCCGCGGCGGCGGCGGTGGCCGGGCAGGAGGTGTCGCCGGCCATCGTGGCCGTGGCCGAGGCGGAGGAGTGGGAGGTGTGCGCGTGCTGCGGGCTCAGGGAGGAGTGCACGCCGGCGTACGCGGCCGGCGTGCGCGCGCGGTACGGCGGGCGCTGGCTGTGCGGGCTCTGCGGCGACGCCGTGGGCGAGGAGGTCGCCGCCGGGGGCGGGTCGGTGCTGGAGGTCGAGGCGGCGATCGCGGGGCACGCCGCCTTCTGCCGCGCGCTCGGTGGGGGGACGCCGGCCGCGGCCGAGCGGCTCATCGCGGCGGTGCGGCGGCTGCTCCGCAACGCCGACGCGGGCGGCAAGCAGAAGGACAAGGCCGTGGTGGTGGTGGAGTTCCAGGAGGCCGCCTCTTGACCGCCTGAATCTGAATGGGACGGATCAAAGATTTGTTCTTGCAGGCGGCGCTAGTCCTCTTTTCGTAATTTACATTTTTATTAGTTCTGAATATTTGTATGCTTAAATTCGGACATGAGCGCTGAAATTTCCCCAGCCCTTGTACAAGCCCTTAGGAGATGTGGAACATCAGAAATTTTGGAGAAAAGGGGCCGTGAGAGATTTGAAGTATATATAAAAGCTAGCACAGGATGGGAGAATCCCATCTTTCATGTCATTTAGTTCAAAGTCATCCAATCTGTACATTTATGATTTAACACTGCTGAAAGTTGAAGATGCCAATCATTTCTGGCTGAGGATTGAAGATGCCATTCCTTGCTGAATACATATAGAGAAACCGAAAGACGCAGAGGCAGAGGTCCGGTCGATTGGAACTACTTTTTTTTCAGATTAAATCATAGATGACATAGAACTACTTTCAGATATACTCTGCTGAGACTAAGTCAAATCCAGTAGGCTTCTACTAGCACAAGACAAACATTCGTGCAAGTGAATACAAAGTATCTTAAATTTCAAGATTAGCCGGCTATTATAAGTGCTGGTTACATGCCATGGATTTTTTTAGTAACAGAGCATGGAGGACAATACAATCTACAGTCATGTGGAGCAATTGTTTAGATCACGCGAGAGTCTGAGGATCGCTTTGAGTAAATAATTCAGAAATATATAGTCGCATTGCATATAACGACTTTTTTACTCATCTAGTAGCATCACAGATACAGTGCAACACTGCAACTTGCAGATGCTAGCCACTAAAGTGTAGTCCAAAGCAAGGATTGATATCTAAATCGCACATTGCAATAAAGCCAAGTCACTGAATACAAAATCATCCAGATTTTATGGTAAGTTACTGAGCATAAAGTGATAACCATTGTGTTACTTAATTTGTTGGTGATATGCTTGGCCTTTTCAAGTAAGATTTGTTCTTATCTGCTGTCCTCCCAGAGGAAATCATGTTAATGTTCCTTGCTACTACTACTACTACTTTGCTACTGATTCTTTAATCAGAAGAGGAGTAAGATTGATGAAGTCAACTTTGCTGCAAAATAAATAAACTTTGTGAATCATCTGGCTTATAAAAAAATTATTCGGAGGCCTGCGACTGACGGGAAACCACTCTTGATGTTGAACTAATGGTTGTTGATTGGTTGAAGGAGATGCTAATAACCTTCAATGATTTTGTTGGGCTTAATGGAGTGGAGTGAGTACCAATCATGCATGGCTATTGGCTGTGATTGTGAATGTGATGCTCATCTTCACGTGCGCGGTGCGCCAAACTGAGCCCAATCAGGATCCATGATTTCTTCCGCAAATTTTTTTTTCATCGCGCGTCCCGCGTCCGACATGAAGAATCCATTCCTGTGATTTTAGTGAGGATTCAGGGCTCTCTGTCTGTCCTATGGACATTCAGACAGCGGTCGTTATCACATACATAGGCAATTCATAAACTGCCGGATCCTACGCGGCGTGTTTACAAAATTTACTAAATTTCCAGTTAAACATGGTTTGCTTGAACATCACGCATTAATTCTCTTCATCAGGATTTCATACTACCACACAGCATTCAATTCGAAATTTGGGGCTGAAATAATTCGGCGCTTCTGTTGCTGTTCTTTCTTCTTTCAGCTCAGAGCGCTGGTGGTCAGAGTTCATGATAGCGTTGGCATCTTGGCGAAGCCGAATCTTCCATGCGCGACGTAATCATCGATAGCTTCTTGATGGAGAACTAGACCAGTGCACCAATGGCGTGAAGATCATGATGTGGCCACCAATTACCATCCCCTTTCCCCGAATTTAAAACACGATTTCGTACGAGTTTTCGTCTTGACCAGGGAATTTTTATAGGCCCCGTTTCCATCAGGAACCTGGACCACTTGATTGGAACCAATATACGCGTAGCTTTCGATCCTGCCATGCATAGATCTTTCTTTCCTCCGCATAGTGTTCCTGGCATATTCGCCTGTCATGATGACCTGCCTTCAACCCCAATTTTCAGAAAAGAACAAAGGGACATATTATGATGACTTGGCGGCTCATTTGTCAGGTTTTGATATCTAGATGAGTACGTATGCATCAAAAGTGTGAGCTAATGCGCCGGTCGCACTGGACACTTTCGCCACTTAGCTGTTGTTTAACATCTTTCTTATGATGATCTTAGCTGTTTGCTTAGTATTTGAGTGCTGCCTTTGGTCATGGGCTTTATTCCAGAGGAAAGAAAACTCAGTAGTAGTATTGTGATATACTATTTTCGTTAAAAGACATCGTTATATATATACTACTAGTAGCAATCAAGTCATTAATTTGAATTTTGTTGGGAGCCTGGAATGTTCCAAAATATGCCATGGTTGGTTGCTTAATTATAAAAAGGAAGCCAGTGCACAAGCATTGTTTTCCTGGCGAGGAGAAAGCAACCGTTGGTAGCTTAAGATTTCTCAAGTTGCCCAGTTGCCTGACAAAGTTATGTAAACAAGAGCATTTACTGATTGTTTGATTTATTTTTGCTGAGGAATACAAACTGTGCCATTTAAGAAAAAGAGGAACACAAACTGGGAATTAAGGAGGTCATCCCACCAAAATAATTTTCATTAGGACTGGTTATACAATAGTTTTGTTGTATAAGGTTGAGGTCACCAATAGTGTTATAACATTACTACATTCCGGTAATAAGACATTAAGCAGAATGTACTAGGAATATTTCAAGTATGCCATGTTTCCACAAACCACAAACGAAGCCGGTGATCATTGTTCACAAGTGTTGTTTTCATGAAAATAAGATGTGCATATATAAGATCGAGTTGCAGTGAAAGATCAAGTTGTGGCAACTTGCCAAGTTGCTTGAAAAATTTACGTTAATCAGGTCAATCGCTGATTAAGATCATCTCTAAGAGTTTTCTTAAACTCACTCCCTAGATCATTATTTGAAGAGCCATTTGAAGAAAAGTCATTCTCTATATCTTTCGACCCTTCAACAACTTCTCTATATCATGTATGCACTCTAGAGAGCCAGCCTCGCTCTCCATCTTTGGCTAGCAGAAAATCCGGAATAAAGAAATGACTATATTTGAAGATCTAATTAAAGAAATTGTTGGGGGTACCATTTCATAAAAATCTCTATTCCTATCAATTAGGCAGGATATAAAGATATTTTTGGAGTTGCTCTAACCCTCCCCCCTCCTTATTGGGAACAATGAATGGGAATTAATAAGGGCATATGCGACATAATAATCTTCTTTGGATCTTTTTTTTTCAAACGAAACGGATAGGAGAACTATCAATTATATTAAAAGAGAAGAAAAGCTCAAACGGGACAATACAACAAAAAAAAAACAACCACAACAATAACGAAAACCTAGCTAACAAGTAACAATTGTAAGCAAAAGAAAATGACAAACACAACGACACCACACAACACCGTCGCGCTATCACGGCACCACTTTAACTCTGCAAACAAACTTTGCCAGTCTCATGAGGAATAATATCTCAGTTTTTCTCTAGTTTTTTTTAAGAGAAGCTGGTAGGGAATCTAACAGTCTATGTATTAATAGGGAAGGTGAAATACAGAAAAAGAACACAACTACAACACACAACATCCACGCATGAAAAACGATACCATGAGACAACAACCTATGAGATGGAAGAGAAAAAAAATTATGCGAAAGCAACCATTGGCCGTTTCAATCCTTGAGGAAGGAGCTAAAACATTTCACCTTTGAATCCCCATGTTGCAAAATTGTGTTTGGAACCTTTTCTAGCTATTCTTGTGAGGAAGGGATCTGATTCTAGCATCCAAACGTGGTCTTAGAGTTTTCGGGTTGATTTTTTTTATATGAGAGAAACAATATGCCCAAACTTTAGAGGTGAGTATGGAATATGTATATATATACATAAGAATTTGGATTTTTGATTTCTTCGACCCGTTAAGTGGTGCTATTCCTGAATTCTGGTATGCTTACTCAATCATGTAAAATGCTAATATGGGGAGAGGCAATATTGCCAATATCAGATTATGGGAATATGACCCCGAGCATCTCCAGCAGTAGGAGAAAACTTCAACCCAAAAAATTAGTTATTGGGGGAGATACAAAACGTGTTTTGGGATTTTGAAGGTTTTCCCTCCAGCAGAATGAGAAAATCCAATCTCCAATGAGAAAAAATAGTGGATTGGGGGAGGAGAGATCTCCCCTTTATTTGAGGGGTGAGTCTATGATTTGAGGGACTGAGAAATTTTTTTCCTTACTGCGATTGGGTTTGGGGAACCGCTAGAGCTACAAGATCTAAAATAACAGTTTTTTCTCATCGGGAGGTAGGAAGGGGGACAGCCGGAGATGCTCTATTACTGTCTTTAATTTACCTGGCTGCCTTTTGATTGATTGGTTATTGCTGCTTGCCGCAATAAAGTGTTGGCAAGAGCAGGCCAACATTTCAGTTTCCAATTTTCAATGTTCATTCTTGGCAGACTAGTCTTTTGCGTGCGCACACGCGCGCGGACCAGTGGCCAAGATTTGTACGTGTGCAGTGGAACGGCACCGAGGAAGAACACATATATTACACGGGGCAGAGCGTTAAAAGAGTACCTAGTCTTACGAAGGATTCGCCAGCAATACATGACATGGGCTTGTTTGGCTTTTGCGCATCGCCCTGTTCGTTTGAGCTTGTTTGGTTTATAAGCCATGGCTGAAAGTACCGTTGTCTGGTTTGGTGTGAGAGAAAAATAATGTTCATTGGCTAATAAGTCATGATTTATAAGCCAAATACGACCAAACAAACAGGCTGAGATCTAAAGAGCGCGCGTGGTAATACAACCTATTGCGCGAGCCTATGCGCGTGTGATAATTGGGCTTTATTTGATAGACGGAATAATCTCGGTATACATATGACTGAAAGACATAATATGTCATGACTGCACATTTTTCATTGATATATAATGGGTCGGCATGTACACAACATGTAACATCAGAGAA